TTTATAAAAAAATGAAATTTTGAGTATTCAGAAAATATTCCGGTTTGGAACTTTATTATTCATTGATATTAAGTTAAGCTATGAGTGCTACTTAAATATCACGGTCGATAACATACTTTGTGTAACGTATGATCACACCGGAGGATCATTACATAAGATATTTTTTTTCTTTTTTTTTTCCTTCGTTCCTTTTCTTTTCTTTCCTCCATTCCTTTTCTTTTTTTTCATTCATTTTTCTTCATTCTTTTTCTTTTCTTTGTTCCTTTTCTTTTTCTTTGTTTCTTTTTTTCTCTTTTGTTTCTTTTCTTTTTCTCTGTTTATTTTCTTTTCTGTCATTTCTTTTCTTTTTCTTCATTCCTTTTTTCTTCTTCATTCCTTTTCTTTGTTTCTTTTTTTTTCTTCGTTCCTTTTCTTTTCCTTCGTCCCATTTTTTATCTTTGCTTCTTTTATTTTCTTTTGTCCCTTTTTTTCTTCCGTTTCTTTTCTTTTCCTTTGTCCTATTTTTTATCTTTGCTTCTTTTCTTTTTTTTTGTCCTTTTTTTTTCTTTCATTTCTTTTCTTTTCTCTCATTATTTTTTCTTCATCCCTTTTCTTTTATCCCTTTCCTTTTTTTTCGCACTTTTTCTTTTGTTTCTTCCCTTTTCTTTTGTTCCTTCGCATCCATTTGTTTCCTTTTATTCTCTTCATTTTCTTAAGCTTATTTTTTTCGTCTTTTCATTCTTTTTTTTTATTTCTTTTTTTATTTCTTTTTTTATTTTTTCTTTCCTTCCTTTTCTCTCATTCTTTCATTTTATTTATTTCTTTTTTTCTGTTTTATTATTTTCTTTTTTCTGTCTTATTATTTTCTCTTTGTCGTTTTTCTTTCCTGATTACTAATAATATTTTTTTCTACAGATCTTTCTATAGTATCTCTATGGCTTGTGTGTTGAAATCAGTATAGTTGAAGAATCATTAGTGTGAATTTTGTACATTTTGCATCTTGTTATTTTGAAATCGTTGTTATTGGAGAACATTGGTAAGGGTTTTGTACTTTCACACTATTATGTTGGACTTATCACAGTTGGGTTGTGTTATTTTAGAGTTATCATAATTGAGTTAATTACTAGTTTGCTATTGTTTCATGTAATGTGTATCGTTAGTAGAGAAGACTAGATGATTAGAGTTAATTTTAAAATTGTACTTTCTAGCTTTAATATAATAAAATTTTGAAAAAAAAATAATCATAAAAAAATTTTATTTTATTCATAATTTATTCAAAAAATAATCATGATACAATCTTGTTATTATCGGATTTTTTTTTTAAATAATCGGATTAGATCCAGAATATTAAAGTAAATAGGTATTCCAGAAAATGTTCATTTTCTGGAACATTTCCAGAATATAAAATTGGAAAATTTTTTGAAAATTTTCTGAAATAAAAATCTAGAATATTTTTGGAATATAATAATGATATTTTTTTTATAAAAAAAGCAAAAAAAAAAAATATGAAGATCAAGTTTTAAATGACATTTGCAAGACAAAAGAAAACACTATAAAATCTGCAAAGCTTGAACATATACTGTAGTGTATGAGAAAGCAATATGTATATGGATTTTGAGATATTTCTTTGATGACACCAATGAAGTTGTTGCAAGTTCATTAGTACTTGAGATCATAAAGATCTGTGAAAAGGAGATGGTTATTTATTTGTTAATAATAAACAAATAAAAACTATTTCATTTAACTATTAGCGCAATTGTCACTGTGAGCTTGAAAAAAGGATGAAAAAGAATGATAAAGTAAACAGTACAATAGAGAACCACAGATTGAACATTATGACTACAAGAAACTATTATTATCAAATTGATTTACAAAATGCTTTAGCATTTGAAGATTAATCATAATTTATATCTGCGACCATATTTCAATATCAATAATAAAATTAAAGAATTTATTCGGGCCAATATAATTTATTTAGCATCTGAATTATAACTAAAAAATGGAAGGCTACAACCTGATAATCAAAATTGGAAATTTTGTTAACCCTCTTTAAAGATAAATATATTGTTCTTCTTTTTTTTTTT